GGAGCTGTAGTTCCGGGCTGGGGAGGCCCACGCGCGGGGCTGTGAGGCCCGGGGCGCCCCACGGCGCGCGGGGGCAGCTCGGGGCCTCCCGCTTTGGCGTGGCACTCAGGGCCCGCAGCCGCCGCGCTCCCGGTGCCCCACGGGGAAGGGCCGGGAGCCGGCCAGGCCCGCAGYGTTACCGCCCTCCCAGCACTGGTGCCCTCCGTTCCACGCCACGGGTGGGTGGCACGGCCCGTGTCCCCTCCGCAGGGCCAGAGCGCCSGTTTTTACCACTTAGTCCCCCTGCTCCCCCAGCCTCTGAGCAGCAGCAGCCCCAGGAGAGCGAGCAGAGCAGCTCCGGTGCCCAGGGTGCCCCGCGCTGCCAAGCGAAACACAACGGGACAGGAAAGAAGAGGGGGCTGGAAAAAGAAATACGCAAGGCAGGCGTCCAATAAAACTATGTTTATAAATAAAAACAAGGAGACTGGCTTTGTCTTTATAAAACCCAGCGGGCAGGGCAGGGCGCAGGGTGGGGGAGGCGTTACAAGAGGCAGGAGCGAGGGGGCGGGTGGCACCTGGGCAGCACCGGGATGAGGGGACACGGGGACGGCGGCGGCTCGGCAGAGCGGCACCAGCAGGCAAAGGGGGGAGGTTTGGGGGAGCCAGGGGGAGGAGCGGGTAGAGGGGGGCACCACGCAGACCCCCAGGAGCAAATACATTTCATCTCCAAAGTATAAAAACAAAACCCTTCAAACATAAGAAAGGCCAAAGGAGGCAACACTGATGCAGAGAAAGCCGCGAGAGGAGAGGGCGCCGGGGCGCCAGCACCAGCGGGGTCGAGCGCATCCATCCTGCGGGAAGGGGCTGCTCCCATGGAGACACAGCTCCCTGCCCCGTCTGGCAGGAGGAAAGGCRCCACGGACCCCAAAGAGGGAGGAAAAACGCAACAGGGAGCAGCGGAGCAGACAGAGCCAACAGCTGCCTCGGCCCTCCCTGGCGCTGAGGCCAGGCCCTGCATCCATCACCAAAGTCGCAGCAGCCACAGGGCTGCAGCCCTAATTGGGTTTGTGTCTCCACAGGGAGCCGTTCTCAGCCAGGTGGCAGCGGGGCAGGCCCTGTGCTGCCCTGTCTGCACCCCGAGCTTGTCCCCTGCCCCACAGAGGCCAGCGGAGCCCATGCCGGGGGGCAAACGGGAGGCAGGACAGCCATATGGGAGCCCTCCGCTGTGCCCTGGAGCAGGACAGGGAAGCAAAGTGCCCTCCTCGCCTGCCATCCCTGCCTGGGCCGCCCGCGGGGTCTCAGCGGATGTCTCAGTASTGAGCAGTGGGGATGGTACCCAGCATGGACACGGTGCCCGGCGCGGGATGGTCCCTGCTCCAGAGTCGGCGGCAGGGAGGGCAAGAGCACAACAGGCGCTCCCTGGGCTGAGCAAGCGCAGCTCTGTCCTTACATTCCCCCTCATGCACCCCGGGTCAGCGCAGGGCTGGATGAAGGAGAGGGACCCAACTTCCAGCCACATTGGGCGGGGGAAGGAGGGTTGTGCCCAGGGCAGTGCCAGGCTCAGAGCTGGCCCGAGGTGGGCAAGGCGAGCGGGGCAGGTGGGAAGCGGCACCATCGCTCCGCTTGGGCACTGAAGCCCTGGAACATTCACGCGTTAGCCAAAGGGCAATTACACTTGCTCGGGTTTAAAGGCACCTAAGGGCAGAGCTGGGCCCTGCTCCGCTCTCAGGGCGGTGAGAAAGGGCAGGGTGGCTTCCGCTAGGGGGAGAAAAGAAGACATCTTCAGCGCCATGCGCGCCCAGCGCCCTTGGAGCTCCGTGTCCTCCTGTCGGGCCACGCTCCAGTTCTCCCCCCTGCGGGCGGCAGGCTCAGAGAAAGTCAAACACCCCGTAATTCTTTGCTGCTTGATAGAAGAAACACATAAGGGTGGAAAGAGAGAAGAGATGTTTAGGGCGGAAGGACCGCGGCAGCAGCGACACACGGGCAAAGCAGCACAGGGCGCTGGGACGGATGCGGATTAATGGGGTTAGAGAGGACGGACGGCAGGAGGGGACGACCTTGGCAATGCACAAGTGTGGCGGCGGGCAGGGCTGGCAGGCCGGTGGGGCCCTCCGCCCCGCTCGAGCAGGGATTAGAATCAAGGTTTAGTTCCATTTATTTTTTTTTCCCTTTTTTTTTTTCTTTTAGTTATCAAGACAAAAAAAAAAAAAAAGACCCATAAAAACAAGGGAGTGAAGCTGGGGCTGGGTCCTAGGAGACAAACGACGGGGATGGAAGGGGGAAGGAGGGGCAGCAGACAGACAGGGGACGGGCGCTTCACATTACATCCACAAAGAACTCACTGGGGTTGCCCATGGCCATTCGGAAGGACTGTCTACTGGCTGTCAGTTCGGGGGGCACAGAGGCCAGGTCGCGGCCCGGCGGCGCCCCGGGGGGCCCCATGGCTGACGGCGGTGGAGGCATCAGCAACATGGGGGGGCTGAAGAGAGGGGGGAGGCCGGGCGGCCCGTACGACTGCTGGCTGTGGTGGCTGCGGATGCTGTGGGCCAGCGAGTGCTGGCTGCGCTGGCTGTGCTGGCTGGCCGGCACCGAGCGCTCGCTGGCCGCGCGCTCGCGCCGCATGCTGCTCCGGGTGGTGTGGTCCGACTCGCTCCCGCTGCCACCTGACTTGGACTCCCCGGTTTTCTCTCTCTCCTTTCTCCTCTCGCTGCCACTGCGATTGGAACCGCTGCTCCGGCTCCCTGCAAAACACACAGGCAGGAATCAGCGAGGCGTCAGAGGAGCCGGGAAGAAAGGTTCCTCCACCCYGCTGCAAGACAGGACTACAGTACACTGCAGCACAGCCACCATCCCAGTCTCCTTTCAACTCTAATACCATAAAACTTATGGGCTTCATCCAAATGAATGCACAGGGTCTTGCCCAAAGGACCAGCTTGTTCCTGCTGCTTCCCACTAGTGCACAGGACACCTGCCCAGCTCTGCAGGCACACGCGGGTGTCTCACTCACCTTCACTGTGCTGGCTGCCTGCACTGCCCCCTCCATAGCTGTAGCTTGGGTCAGGGAAGCCTGGATGGGGGTTATATGGATGAGGTGGTGGATACTGATATGGAAAAGCCATAGGCCAGGGTGCAGCTCCCGGGTGTGGAAGAGGAGCCAAAGTGTCCTGATCGGAAGCACCGCTGGAGCCATCGTGGTCATGGAGAGACAGGTTAGCCATGTCTGCAAGAAAGTACAAAACAGCAGTTAAGGCAAGAGGAAAAGCAGCCGGAGTGATGAAGCAGCCTCGTGGCCACCCTTTCTGACAGGCAGTGGTGGGGTAACCAGCAGCAGAGAGGAGCTGGCACCTCCCCATTATCCCCCTACAGCCATCTGTGCTTCCTGCCTGGACAGCAGCCAGGCTGCGTGACTCGGAGCTGTCGCTCCGAGACAGAACCAGCGCAGAGGGAAAGGACCACATCAGAGCTAGAGCTTCCCTCACCAATTAGTCTTCCTCCTCCTCCTTATCTGAGCAGAACCCAAATGTCACAGCACCGCTCCCTTGCCAGTGATGAAAGCTCAGAGCCTGGAGCCACATCCAGGCAGAAGAGGCTGAGCCTCTGCTTTGGCCGCCCAGGGGAGAAAACTGCATGGCATYTGACAGGGCCAGCAGCGCTCCCAAAGCTGGAGTTTCAGCAAGCACGACAAGGAAGCTAGGATATTTTTCATCACTCTCTAAAGAGGTTTGTGAAGGAAAGGGCTGAGCCTGACAGCAATGGCTGTGGCTCTGTCCCCAGCTGTTCACAGGGCCCTGCCCCACTACCCTCTCCCTCCTGCCCGTGCCAAACCCAGAACTAAGTGCCATACTTCCACAGAGGTCGCCGAATATGTAGTAACACTGTTCCGAGAAGGTGATCTTGTTGACGGTGTGTCGGATGTAGCCAGCCTTCAGCAGGTTGCTGGCGTACTTGCGAGATTCACGGCGGTCTGTGAAGCCCTCCACGTGGTGATACAGCCAATCCACCACATCCGAACCTGCCATGAGATGTTAGGGTTAAACACAGCAAGAGAGAGGAGAGCAGCCCTTGAAACAGAGGCCCAGACTGGAGTCAAGGCAAAATGGGCCCAAAGATGAAAAKGTGTTGGACAACCAAGGGCTCAGTTTGTGACCCTAGCCCTGTCAACAGTTATTTTGTACTAAGATGCTCCCTGTTTGAGCATTTGCTTGGGCAATTGGCCACGGGTTCCCCACTCCCTGCCTTTGCCGGAGGAAGCACAAGCGCTTACCAATGAAGGCGTTGGGGATGGTGATCTTCAGCCACATGCGGTCACGCACCTCCAGGCCTGACTCTGGGGAGGCCATGGCTTTGACAATGGTGGCCATGTCACTGTGGATGGACAGGTGAAAGTCATCGAGGCCTGTTGTGTGGAGAGAGGTAAGCGAGGCAGAGATGAGAGGAGGCCGAAGAGACCATAGGGCCACATGGAAGCAACACAGTCAGGAGGAATGGGCCAGGGAACAATACATCACAGACAGCCATGGGGTGCATGCTGGCCTAATCTCCACTGCAGACCTGCAATGAGCACATGAGCTGCTTCCTCTTGCRTAAATACAGGTTAAAATCTTCTCTCACCCAGACCCAAGCAGCTGAGATCCAAAAGCTGCCATCTCAGCCCACACAGCTCAGCAAGGGAGTTCACTGCTCCTTACAAAGTTGCAGCAGCTCCTGGCTTCTTGCTGCAGCTCCAAGCTCTCTAGGCAATTGGTTCTGGGTTCTGTTTACTAGATTCACTCAAAGCTTTCAGAAACAGCCCTCTGCTCAGCAGGTCCTTGCTCCACTGTAAGGTTCCCCGCTCTTAAAAGCCTTCTCCGTGCTGCCCAATGCTCTGTCTTAGCATGCCTTGTTTGAGAACAAACCCACTCCCCTCTGAGCTGAGAACCCCAGAGTGCTCCCTTAGTCTCTCCTCCACACCTGCCACAGCTCCTGGATGCTGTCCAGGCTCTTCCGCTCTCCTTAAGCAGAGACCAAGAAACGTGGCAGTAATTGACCCAGTCAGGGCTCCTGCTGATCCCTGCCTGGTGACAGCTCCCTCCCCTCAGCTCGGCAAACGCTCCCCACACAGCCGTATCGCTCCCGCTCGGGCACGGTGCGGGTGAGGAAGCCGTGCAGTGCAGGGAGCGCGGAGGCACGAGGACTTACGTTCGGTCTCTGGGATGGAGCTGGTGATGGAGGAGCTGGTGGAAGTGATTGTGCTCATGGATGGACTCATACCGTACGCTGGGTAGGTGCCGGTCATCGCTGCTGTGTGGGACACCCAGGCTGCCGGGTCGATTGGCCGGATGGGCTCACCTGYGGGAAAGAGAAGGTCGGTCAGCAGCTACCAGACATCATCCCGTCATCAAAGCCAGCTCTGGGGGCGGGGCGGGGACTCAGCACAGCCCATTTCATCCCCAGCATCTGCCGGGACTCACCCGGATCGGAGCATGGAGAGTCTGGCCCAGCCCAGATCCGCTGGGGAGCAACTTGGAGAGAAAGAAGAGAGGGAGGGTCAGCAGGAGAGGTGCAGAGGGAGAGATTCCCCCTATGGCTGAGGGGGGTGTTTCTCTGTCCTCTGGCGCTCTGAGCAAGTGACCCCCCTGGCCCAGTGAAACGCGTCCCCAGCGTGATGTGGGAAGGAGGGCTGGGCTTATGGGCTTTTTTGGCTTGGGAATAGGACATGGTGGCCCCCTAGCATGAGAGCTGAGCCCCTGTCAAACCCCATTTCCAGTGCGACATGACATTACACACATACACACAGGAGAGGAACAAGACAACAACCAAGTAAGTGCTCAAGGCAGGACTCTCACATGGGCTGGGCATCAGCATTAAGGGTGGGTCAGCTATCCACTTACTCCTAGGTAACGAGAAGCAGCCTCTGGGGCTGGGGTCCCAGCACTTGGCCACAGTCAGGGTGATGGGCCTGCAGGAGAAAGGCAGGAGTTAGCACAGGAGCCAGCGGTACAATCCCCCAGGAGAGCCAGGCAGAAGCTGTGCACAGACTCTCTCCTCTTGGGAGGACAGAGGACAGCAGCCAGCACAGTGCCCTTCTCCCCCACAGCACATGGGCTTCCTTAGCAGCATGGACAAAATGATAGGGTTGGCAATAGGAGCTGCAAACCTCCTCTTAGCCAAGTCATGCAAAAAGGTGACATAGCACCCCCCAAAAGTTAGAACGCACCCCCTTAATTCACCACTACTGCACTGGCTTTAGAAGTCAAAACCCAGGAACCAAAGCAATACTAGAAATATAAGTTCTGGGTTCCTGCAGTCTCAAAGATACTAGAAGAGACACCTGGAAGACAACCCGCAGACCCCAAGCACATGCCATACAGCCGCCCACAGAAACAAACCCAGAGCACCTACCCAGGCTTGTGCACGATCTCCCGGAGCACCCGTACAGCATCATCGTTGCTCATGTTTTCAAAGTTAATATCGTTCACCTGCAAACAACACAAAGGAATGAGTCTCAAAGATGTGGCCAGAGGCAGAGATCCCCGCTCAGCTCCGTAGTGACTCAGCTTCTTCCTTCCAAGAGGAGCTTCCTGGGTTTAGTCTGCCAGAATRTGCGAGGAGGCTTCTGGGTCTTTCCCTACTATTCTCCCAGGCTCAGAGATGGAAGTACGTGGGTGTGCAGTACCTGCAAGAGCATGTCGCCCGGCTCAATCCTGCCATCAGCTGCCACGGCACCACCCTTCATGATAGAGCCAATGTAAATGCCTCCATCTCCACGTTCATTGCTCTGGCCCACAATGGAAATGCCCAGGAAGTTATATTTCTCTGTAGGAATGGAAGGAGAAAGAAACAAATCATCATAAAGCGGGAGGCATGAGGAACCCTAACCTCAGACAAATCTTGTGCTACTCTTATCACTTGCACACTTATCTCCTGGAGAGATATCCYAGGACGCGGCAAAACTCGAGGGCAGTGTTTCAGGATAGGCTGCTTTCCCAGGGAATCTGTGTCTCACCCCTCCCCATGCAGTGTTGCGTTCTCCTTGCCTCTTCCCCAGCCTCCCTGCCCCAATGCCCAATCCCACTCCATAAGGCTCTGGTCAGGCCTCAACTCACCCATGTTAAGTGTGACCGTGATGATGTTCAGGGACATGGTTGAGTCTGTGATGCTGCTGAAGGAGGATGACTGTAACACAAACACAACACACGATGTCTGTCTGCCCCTTGGTACCATTCCCAGCCTYGGCTCCCTTCACATGTGTTTCCCGCCACCCTTGTCGCACCACAGCCACCACCTCCCACTCCAGACTAAGGGTAGGAGCTTTGCAGAACTGAGCAGCATCAGCCACAGCTCTTACGAACTTTGCACAGCCAGGACAAGGTCTGTGGTCCCAGTTCTTAGTGTTAAGTAAGCTTGAGAAGGGTTATAAAATTTTATAAAGTCTCAGCACTTAAAAGTCAACCTATCCAGAGGAAACATGGAAAGGAAATACGTGCCCACAGCACACACAGCTGAATTAGCTCAATTAACTCTGGAGACATCCACCTAGCAAGTCCACTCTAACCTATATTTTCCTCCCCAGAACACCCAGCCCTCACACACCCGCTCAATCCGCGGAGCCTTCTGTTTCCGCCGGCGTCGTTTGTGTCTCCTCATCAGACGGGAGGCGCTACTTTGCTCTGTCGAACTGCTGAACCTGCAGGCAGAGGTAGAGTCAGCTCTTCTGTAGCTGTGGGGCAGCACTGGCAGCACAAGAGCTGCAGAAAGGGACATGGGGGATAGAGGACTCCAGGGGCAGAGAGGCAGAGCAACAGACAAGGGACAGATCACAGCAGAGGTGGTGCTGGGTGAAATTCAAGAAAACAGCAGGTCTGAGCAAGGACCCCAAACTACTGTGCTCTGTGCTGGTATCAATTTGTGCTGAAAGGCAGGGGGAAGCCAGTGCTCCTGCTGGCCCTAAGCTCTCTTACCTGCTGGTGGAGTCGTCTTCGTCTGAGTCGAAGAAGCTGGTGGTCTCCAGCTCACTGCTCATGAGCGTGGAGGAGCTCTCGTACCCGCCCAGGTCTCGGCGTCGCTCTCCCTTCACTGTCCCATTCACCCTGGGTGCTGGGAAGCAAGAAGATTCAACGGGATTAAGACAGGCCACAGGGAATCCCTCACCTCAGGGCCCATCTCTCAGAAGGAGCCTTGCCATCAGACCACCCTATCTAGTGCCRAGATCCATCTATTGTGGGATATCTTTTGGATTCTGCTAAGAGATGGGGGAGAGACTGATGAGCCACCAGAAGGAAGGCTGCTGAAGTCAAGGAAGGCCATTTCAGCTGGTCCGTGGCAGACCAAGGAGCAGCAGAGAGCAACAGGAAGACTACAGCTGCTATACTTAGCCCTGGGAGGTTCTGAGGCACTGCTGCCTCTTTCCTACTCCTGAGGTTTCTACAGGAGCAGCCCTATTTACCGCCAATGGCCACACCACCAAGCTCTGATGCCACAGAGGGGCTAGCTCCAATCGCTATAATGACACTACAGCCCCAGGCCATGGAACAGCCCTTCTGAGCTGAGGTTCTGCAGAGCAGATGAACTTGCCCCCTGTGTGTGGCTAGCGCTTCCCAYTGTGCCCCAGCCACGCGTGCAGAGCTCTGGCCGCAGCACCAACGCTCACCATGCTCAGGTCCATCCTTTCGACGGGGTCGCTCCCTCTGCGATGACACCACGGAGTCCGTCTCTGTCTCGTTGTCCAGATTTTCCCGACTCCCCCCAGTGTTAGGGCTGTGATGAGATAAAAAAGGACAAACGTGTCCAACAGGGAATGGTCTAAACAGGCTCTCTTCAAATTTGTTGCTATCATGAGGCCCTCTGGCTGGCTGTGATCCCTGTCAATTTGAACAGGGACGCCCAAGTCTCTGGTCTTCCCGTCCTGACTGAGTCCAAAGCCTCCAAGGTCCCTAGGAAACCAGAAGGTGTGATCAGGYAACTTACTGAAAGGAGGGCGGCCTGGAGTCTCCGATCCCTCCCGTGCGCTCCATGGAGGGCGGCAGCTCTGTTTGGTTATCGGCACAGACCGACCCAGCATCCGAGTGTGACCCCTCTGCAGACACCAGCTGGAAGGATGAGAGACAGAGAATGAAACGGCTGAGAAGGCAGGAAAACATCTACAAATAATGACATCTGAGTGGCCAAATGAGTCAGCCATAAAGCCTGGGCTTTATGTAACTCATCTCTGAGAGTGGCTAAGAGCAGGTGCCCAGGAAGGGTATTGAACAAGGCCAAGCACAAAGCAACATTCCCCCTCCCCACACTCCCAGACTCCATCTATTTATCATTCGGTCTATTTTTTAGGGAATTCTTGAGCAGTGAAAGCCAGATGACTAACAGTCCTGCTTTGAGCCTCTGCCATTCATCTCCACACTTGCACTGCACAACTTTTGAGCTCAGATAAACTAGCAGATGTCCTGCAACAAAGAGTGGGTTCCCCCAGTGCTTGCTTGAGAAGACACAGCAACSAGCCGTTCCTCTTTTGGCCTTCTCTTGATTTTACTGATCTCAAGCTATGGGACTTAGTAGGATTTTCATCTTCTCCGCTCCTGGAAGCTGGGCTAAGAGTCCAGAGCCAAGGTTGGCCTTCAAACAGGCTCCAGCATCTTGTGATCTGATCTCCACAAAACCCTGGCAAAATTTCAAACTATGCCCAGTTGAGTGGGTTGGGCAGAGCCCCCAGGCATCCTCTGGGCCCAGCATCTTTCCCAGGGTGGAAAACACTCTAATTTGCTCCGGGCGGAGCCGGCTGTGGGACAGCCCAGTAAGACTAGTCCACAAGGCAGGAGTTGGGGCTTGTCTATGTACATAAAAGAGCTGCCTACTCATGTAACGACAGCAGAGGTCTAGTATAACAAAAGTAAGGATGAGCCACCATGGACAAGGACAAAGAGTAAGGAGGACTGTGAAACAAGGGCTGGAAAGGAGCTGGTACCTGCTAGTACCACCAAACTATAAAGCCAGGGGAAATCCCRAGGCAGCTCTGCCACCAGTTGGTGCTGGAACCACTCCTGTAGGAAGCAGGAGCAGCTGCCGACCAGACAGGAGGAGACAGGGCCCCAGTTTCTAGAGATTCTGGGCACTTCCAGCATCACTGATGACACTACGAGTCGTGCACTGCCCAGCTCTGAGAGCTGGCAGATCATGAAGACGGGGCCAGATGGAGCCCAGAGATTATCATCAGGGTGGATGAGGAAAGGTTTGCTGCCAGGGAAAYATTGGGAACAGAGCCAGGGATGCAGTTGGAGCAAGGAGGACAGAATAGCCCCAGGAAAGCCCCAGCAGAGGGGACAGACAGGGCAGAGAGCGCCSTGGGGTGACAAAGCTGCAGGGCCCGTCCTGCAGGCGCCAGGACGAGCCCAGCAGCTCCCGCTCTCACGGCTGCCTGTCCCGCTCTTGTCTGGCTCTCAGCTCAGCCTCCCTCCCTCCAGCAAGGTCCAGGCACATGCCCAGCTCTGCTCCCAGCACCTTCCCCTGACATGTCCTCCCAGGGCCACATCCCAGCTGCCGCCTGGGAGCACAAGGGGAGAAGAGATGCAGTTGCCAGCATTGCCTGGGGAAAATTCATAGTGCTCGGAGCTTGAAGGTGTCAAGATGAGATCAGGAGAGTAAGCCTGGACTCAAGAGGCTGGATACTGGCAGCTTCCAAGGAGCACAGGGAAAGGAGACCCCTCAGGCCCCTTCCAAGGAGAAGAGGGGGAGCAAAGGGTCTTCTGAGCAGGGGCTCTAGTGCTACTTCTTCCAAAATTCCTGGGGCTGGGATTTTCTCCAGGAAATGTTTCAGTAACCACTCTCCACTTTTCCTGTCTCTTTCACTGTCAGGAAATCACAGAATCACACAGAATCACAGAATATTCAAGGTTGGAAGGGACCTCTAGAGATCATGTAGTCCAACCTTCCTGCTCAAGCAGGCACACCTAGAGCATACTCCCTTCTATCCAGCAATACTATATCCAGAAATACTCCCTTCTATCCAGTACCCCATCTTTCCTGCTCGCTAAAATAAGTGCCACGTGTCTAAAATAGCCTCATTCCAGCCTGTCTGGCAGCAGCAGCAAAGCAAATGCTCCCCTGTCTCCACAACCACCACAGACAGGGGGAAAGAAAAAGGGATYCATCCCACATGGGGACCGCAGTGCGGCCGCTCGGAGCTGGGTGCCCGCCCATGCCCTGCGCATGGCCCTGCACCGTGCAGCTGCCCCGGGAGCTTTCCCACCACAGGGAAAGCCAAGGTGGGAGCCCTGCTGAAGAGCAGGCCAGGTCCAAACAAGCCATGGCGGGGGCTCCGAGCCCTCGGGGAGCACATGGAAACAAAAGGCAGCTGGCAATGAAGCGAGGAGGAAACGCAGCAGCGGCGGATGGCAGACGAGGAGCGGCAGGGCCCCGCTAACCGCTAGAGGGAGGGCTGCAAGCGGCCCGGCCGCCGCCTCGGCCTCTTTGTGCGGGAGCCGGGGGCGCCCCGGCTGCCTCTGCTCCTCCCCGCGCTCCCAGCTCAGCTCGCCTGGCAGCAGGGCGCCCGCCTGCCCGGTCCCGTTCGCCAGCCTTCGCCATCCCGCGCTCCTGTGCCAAACGCAGCCACTTTGCTGCCTCCGCGGCCTTCGCTGCCCCCCAGCCAAGGCGGCTCTGTCTGGCGCGGGAGGGAAGGAGCATCGAGTCTTTTTGAGCCTCCTTTGCAAGAGGCTGCAGATTGTCTCTCGTTAGTGGGAGCTTGGTGGCCTCTGAAGAAAGGGCACCAGGGCCTTTGTTCTGTTCCAGGGGCAGATGCACACACCCCAAACAGCATAAACTGCAGCTCAGCAGGGTGGGAAAAGGGATGAGAAGCTATGGAGACTGAATTCCCCCTCCCTCCCAAACAGAGTCCCCTTGGGGGCAGAGGGAGGCATGCGGGCAGGGCACAGAGCATGTGCATGGCATGACATGGCATGGCACGGAGGGAGAAGCTTGTCCTGCAGCTGCCCAGGCAGTACCTTCAGTCTTCAGGGCAGTCAAATCCAGTCCGCTTCGCCAGCACTAAAGTCCCTTATGCCCTTTGCACCAGCCACCGTGGTGGGACTTTCTTGGAAAGCCGACCCTGCCGTAGGGGCACACGGGTTACACGGCGGGCAGGCTGGGACCGTCACGGCCGCTCGGCACCATCTAAGCGAGCGCTGGGCAGGGACATCCCACGCACTGCCCGGCACCGCATTGCCCAGCCTGGAGCAGGAGGAGGGCAGCGCAGCTGCACGGAGGCCGTGGGTTTTGGTACACAAGCTCCTAGTGCTTTTCTTGGCACTGTGCAATCAAACGGGGGTTTTCAGAGGGAGCAGGAACAGCAGAGAGGTAAGGGAGCAAAGGACTYGCTTACCCATGACACCACCCGGCCGTTGAAGCAGGGGAGCTTGGCATTGTCATCCGAGATTTCTTCTTTCACCACCCTGCAGAGGGGAGAGGAGGTGGTTAGCGCTGGGCACAGGTTTCAGAGAAGAGGAGGCTTTTGCCACGTCGTGTGTTTGCACCGAACCACAAATGGTCCAGACTTGGGCAAGGGGCAGAGAGGGGCCTCGCAGCTCCCGAACACCAGCCTGGCTCGTGCCCACAGCCGTGTCCAGCAGGCGGGGAAGGAGAAAACAAGGGCAAAACAGACTCTCCCATGTGCCCGCAGCTGCTCTGCCCCCCATTCACACTTTAATCAGTAAACAAAATTCAGACCTACATTTTTACCAGTTTSCTTATTTCTAAATAAATACCTTCTTTATAATGATCTGAAGTGATCACATCCTATTTCAAAGACTTTTAATACATGAAAGTGAAATACATTAAACATGCTGCCTCCTAAATGTTATTGTCACTTTTTAATTATATACATATTTCGACATCACTTCAAATGTTATAGTTGTGCTGCAATATCATGTTCCTCTATTACACAAGCAGCTACATTACTACCAGYCTTCACAGCAGAGGAGTGCTGATGATTTTGTTTTTCCACCAGTGAAATCTTCTGGTTTGTTTGGGGAAAAAAGCGGGTCTTAGTCTGAGCAGCCTAATCCACTTCCGAGATGGGTGTTAATTCCTTTTGCACAGATGGAGAAGCAGGAAAAAAAAAGCAGGAAAGCAGCAGAGAGGCCAGATTAAAACCCTGCCCACCTAATGCTTGTTGCCAGAGYGTGTTCCCCTTGCCCAAAGCTGCTGCTGTCCAGGATGGACATCAACCACTGCCGGTCTGTCCGGGACACACACGTTCCTCAGTGCCCTGCACAACACTTGCTCATGCAGGCGAGTTGTGGCCTCCTCGCTCCTGAGCGCRTGCGCCCAGCCTGGCTGCACCAGCATCCACTCAGTGTCGCCAGGAGCCTGGACCTCAGCCAGTTCCTCGAGAGAGCTCCAGGCAGCGCCAATTTTCAGTGCTGCCTGCTCAGGGACAGAGTCCTGTCCGCGAGTAACGGGACAGGCTGACACATCTGCAGGGTTGAGGTGACCAACAGCTGAGCACAAATACACTGATCTGCTCTCCTTGGGGCAGAGCTGACCAGCTCCCAGCTACATCCATGCCCACTCTCAGCTACAGCACCCAGTGAAGAACAACCTCCTGCTGCCTCGAGAACTGACGCTCTCATTGCTCCTATTACTCTGCTGTTGCCCCAGGCATCCCAGGGAGCTGCTGCACCCAGAAGCGTCTCTCTCCCTGCCCAACTGCACAAAGYACCTCCCAGCCGCTGCATTATTTAATCACTCTTTATCATCCGGACGCCAGAGCACAATGAATTATATATTTAGCATCCCCAGAGCACAGGCTGATAGCACTGGGCTGGAGCCCGGCACATGCCGAGCCAGAAAATCCCYGCAACGCTGCTCATGTCTGTCAAGCCGCACGCAGGCTCCGTGTTATCCGAGTCCTGCATTCCTGCCCGGCCCCAGCTCTGCACTGAAATTCCTCTCAGCACTCCGTTCAAGGCGCTTCCACTGCGGGTTCACACGTAGGAGACTTGAGGTTCCCGCTGGAAGCCGCGGGCTGGGCGGCCTCTGGGGGAGCTGCGCGCGGTGCCACGTTTGCTCCGGCACGGCTGCAGGGAAGAGCGGCCATGAGGGGAAACGGCCTGGGATCTGCCGGGATGAGCCCTCGGGCAACGGGCCCTGAGAATACACCCCAAATAACAGCCCCAAACGAGCTCTGGCCCTCTTGGTTCCTGAAAAGCTTTGCTATGTGGTGCGAGCAGGGAGCTCAGGGAGAACATCTGTACAAAGATGACTGCAAAGGGACTCCCTTTAGTTTCCAGTTCTTCAGGGCCGCCCGGTTTCAGATTTTCCCAGGTTTAGGGATCTATAGCATGGCAGAGCAGGGGCATCCTCCCAAAGTGGGAAAGCTCCCTGGTGCAGCGGAGCCCACATGCCGGTCCCAGGCAAGGCGAGCGCGCGGCCCTGCAGCGGCCGCAGGAGCTGCAAGGGACGGAGCTCACAACGCTCCTCCGCATTGGATTTTCCAACAAAGAGACCTGCGGGAGGGAGGGCGGGCGGTTAGAGGGGAGGCAGGGCGAGGGGCCGGATGATTCAGCCTCCATCCCCAGGACACGGGGAGGAGGGGACAGCGCTGGGGTTGCTGCAGGAGCGCGGAGGGGAAGCGGTGCTGCCAGCGCTGACACAAACAGCACATCTGCTCCATGCCGTGGGGGAGGGGGAGGGCTCCAGCCCCATCCCGGCCCGTGGATCTTCTCCSGGCGCCCGGGAAGGTGCCGCGGGAAGGGCCAAGGGGAGATGGCGCCGGCAGCTGCAGCCAGGACGCGGAGCCGGGCACAAAGCTCCCTCTCCAGGGAGCCCCAGCCCGGCTCAGGAAATTAGAGGGTATTTTGCAYCAGTCATGTCCTAGGAATGAAGGGAAGGTGGGGAGTGAGAGCACGCGCGCAGGGGAGAAAGGCAGCCATAAAACCCAAACCCCGGCGCCTGCTGAGCTCTTGGAAAGCCCCGGGCTCCGCAGACATTCCCGGCCGCCCCTTTCCCCGGGGCGGCCTCCGGGCCGGCGAGGAGGCAGCGCGGCGCTAACCGCGAGGGGGTCGCGCCTCGCACATAAGATGGCGCAGGCCGGGCGGGCCGGGGAGGAGGAGCGCGGCGGCCGAGGCTGGGACACGGCGCCAACGCCGCTCCTCGCCGGGGCCCCCGCGCGGATTCCTCCATCTCGGCGCTCGCGATAAGGGGGGTGTTGGGAGAGGGGCCCTCGTGGGATTCAGCAGCAACCACGAAACTGGAGTTGGGAGCTGGAGAATAAGGTTGGGGATCGGGAGGGAGCAGCCAGYGAAGGGTGAGGAAAGGGAAGCCCTCAAGCACATCAGGCGTCTGGGCTCAAGGATAACCAGGAGTTTGTTACCAGGGGAGGTGCAAAGATGGAGAAGACACAACTGAGCAGCTGCTCACTAAGGAGCTGGGAAGATGTYGCACTAGTGGAGCGGATAAAGCGCGATCTGCTCCCTCATTTAGCCCAGTTATTGAGAGGGAAGTCYTTCGTGGAGCGGTGACACGTCTTCCATGATCACAAAGGCCAGAAATTCAACAGCAAAGTTAATTCTCTTCTATAACCTCTCCTCCCCAAAGTGCACAATTTGGGTAAGACCTTAATCACTTCCATCTACTACAGCCCACAGAACCACAACAACAAAACGGAGACTTTCCTACCTAATACCACAAGCTTCAGGGACTAAAATTCCAAAAAAGTGATCTCATCTTCGAGACCTGCGGTAGTGCACGCCCCTTAGGGCAGGGATGTCTTCTCTCCAAACCACGATAGATGAATGATGCTGCATAACGAAAGGAAACACCTTCATGTACTACTGCTGTCCACACAGGAGCATTGCCCAGCTCTAGAGCAAAACCCTCCTACGCACAGCAYGATCAGATGCTGGTGCCAAAGGGACGAGCTTTGCTCCAGCTTCACCAGAAGGGAGAATTGGACAGGGCGATTCCCCGGCAGAGCAGGGATCCCAGGTGTGAGGCGCTCGCCCGTGAGGTTGARCCCGGACATGATCCATGTGCTTCCCACAGGGATGTGATCCTGCGGAGCCGCCAGCCTAATGCCAGGAGGTGCGTGCGGCGCTCACACGTGCAGCAGTGAGAGGCAAACAGCACCAAACGGGGCTACAGGATTCGAGGTGTCTGTCCCGCCAAACCAGGGTCTTCTCTGGGGTCTTCTTCATCATATTTTTTAATGCCCTGTGCAGAGTTCATAGGATATGTCTGTGCACTGCGTGGGGCAAGAAAAGCTCTCTGAGGGCAAGTGGAGACGATCATTCTCCTTTTAAATTTCTCGCCCAAGCTCCCAGACCGAAGTCTCTTCACCACCCCTCCATTTCACAGCACAAGGTAGACAGGGAGACAGATTTGCGGGCATTTTGGCTCGATTAACYCCGACCTGCCCTGCTGCACTCCTGCCTGCCTGTGCACATCAGAGCTGCCAACCCGAACAACACCCGCTGTACAAGGCCTCCCCGCCTGTCCCAGAGCTGTGTTACTGCCTACATGGTCACTGAGGCCAGCACTAAATAGATYATGTAGAATGGCCACTCTTTCCCCCAAACTCCTACCCATCCCACTTACAATTACCCTTACTGGACATCCATCTGGGAAAACGTGGCCCAAACAGGCTAGAGTTGCTTGGCTCCAGCTGCATTTGTGTTCAGTCGTGCAGGTGTCACTGGGTGGGAGATGAGAGAGGACAGATTTACCATTCATATAGCCCAAACTCTGGAAAAGGAAGGTTACTTAGGAAGGAGCCCCTGGATCTCAGAGGCCTGCCCAGGAGCAATACCTAACAAAGCAAAGTTGAAGACTGGGATTCAAAGCGAGCTGGAGAGCCCTGGCAATGCCTCCCACCTGGATCTCTGGAGCGACCAATCTGGCCCAGCACTGCTCTGCAAACAGGCCCGACCAGGAGCAGGGAACTGCATGGAGAACTGCAGGAGGCACCTCCATATCCTGCCCTGCCCAAGCTGTGCTTCCAACCCCCAGATCCACATTTTGAGACATCATCAAAGGATTCTTTCTCCAGGCCCCTGAATGTGCAATGACACTTCCAGTCTCTTTGAATTGGAAATCAGGACAAACGGGAACTGCCAGCCTAAACCCAGCCAGTTTCTTCACTCCTAGAGSTCAAATTATTTGAGCTCCTGCACAGTCCAAGCCAAGTATACAAGACAAGTGCAAGAAGTGACAGTGAGAAAGAAACACTTCAGGAAAAATACCAAAGGAAATGACCTTCATGGAACCAAGACAAAGCCACAGTTAATATAAGCAACCAAAGGCTGGGTTTGTATCTGTGGCAGGATATAAAACAGGCTCAAGGAGGCCTCAGGTGAAAGGAAACAAATCCACAGGAGAGGAAGTAAAATCGTGGTGCAGTTGTTGTGGTTCTTCTTCATCCTGAGAGATGGGGAACAACCAGGAGGCTTGACCC